AATATGTGGATGGCGTTTGTGGCCGGTTTATTTTAAGTTTAGCGATTCTGTTTTCTACTCTTTTTCGGTGACAATGATAATGATCTTCGAATCGTTGAAGATTTCTTGCTGTTTACTATTTTGTTTGTGACCGTGTATGACCTTGCTGTTTGTGACTATTGCTGTTTACTATTCTGCGTTCCACAAACACTTAGAAAGACAGAAGACGCCAAGAGCTAAAACAGTGATACAGAAAGCACCAGCCATACACTAACAAAGAAAACATAGAGTCAGAGACAGAAGGAGCGAAGTGAGATTCTTCTTTGGTGTTGCTTCCTGACTTTTATCGCGGGCGGAGCTGCGCTGGCTGCACCTGCTTGTCTGCAATAAAATTGTGGTTTGGGTTGGGGGGACGGGTTTGTGTGGGTGTGAGGGGGGGTGGGGGGTTTCTGGGTGTTGGGGACTCTGCATGTATGTTGCCTGCTGTTTGCTGCATGTGTGATACCGAGTACATACTGGGTCGGGGGCTCTGCATGTTTTTTTTTTTTTTTAACCTGCCGCGTCTCACGCGACCTACCAAACGATGGACAAGATGGCGGCGGCGGCAGGGCGGTATGGTGTGGTGGCGGGGTATGGCGGCGGGCTGTGACGGCGGTCCTAGAAGAAGAAGAAGAAGAAGAAGAAGAAGAAGAAGAAGAAGAAGAAGAAGATGATGATGATGATGAGAGGGGGAGGGGGAGGAGGAGGAGGAGACAAGAGGCGGAAGAATGATCGACGAAGAAGAAGAAGAAGAAGAAGAAGAAGAAGAAGAAGAAGAAGAAGAAGAAGAAGATGACAAGCGGAGCATTTCTTTTTTTTTTTTCCCTTACCTGTCGTTTATCTCATGACCTATCGCTAATGAATGTAAAAAAAGAGAAGAAAAAGAAGATAGTTGGAAGAGGAGGAGGAGAGAAGAATAAGAAGAAGAAGATGAGGGGGATGACGACGACGAGAGATGAAGAAGAAGAAGAAGAATAAGATGAGAGGGGGAGGAGGAGGACTGACGAAGTTGTGGAAGAAGAAAAGCAGAAGAGGTAGAAGAAGAAGAAGAAGAAGAAGAAGAAGAAGAAGAAGAAGAAGAAGAAGAAGAAGAAGAAAAAGAAGAAGATGAGAGGGGGAGGAGGAGGAGAAGAGAAGAAGAAACAGAAGAATGAGCGGAGGAGGAGGAGGAGGGAAGAAGAAGAAGAAGAACAGACCGGCACTCCACGTCGACGGGCGGCAGGGGTTGTCGGCAGGCAGGAGCACCGCGATCGACGATGCTGGCGACGGGCGACGGGCGACTCGACGACGACGGGCGAGTGATGCTCCCAGGCGATGGTGACGAGGGGCAGCTACTTCGACACAGGCGGCTGGAGCAGGTATCGAGGCCCCGTTTGGACAGCCAATGCAGGCCGCCCCAGCCAGTTGCTWGTTCAAACGGGGCCTCCGTTTTCCCTCCAAAAACGAACGGCCCTCTGGCCGTCGATCATGGATGATCGATGGCCAGAGGGCCGTCCCAAATTCAAAACAAAAAAAACAGGCCTCACGGGCCCAACACGCTGTTTTCTCGGCGTGGTCGGACCCGGTAGGCCCTGGGGAGGTGAAATCTCGCCAATTTGGGGTCGGAAACCCCCCGCCAACAAGGTGTCCTGGGGGGGGCCGGCCCCCAACCGGGCCGCCCGGGACCTCCCTCGGGCAGGCACCGGCCGGCCGGGCGGCCCGGATCCGTACACAGATAAAAATACCAAAAACACTAAAAAGAGAGTACAGGATAAGGAAAGTCAATGCAGGTTAGAAGGCACTGGGAGGATTGAGGATACATTCTATAGGCGAAATAGGTTTAGGGAGCAAGGTGCACATAGACAATAAGTGACATGGGGGCCTGGTAAGAGGAAGGTACAGTGATGGCAAGGTAGCCCAAATAGGCTAAGACAGATAGCATGATAGCTGGACAAAGGTAGATTAAGCAGGAAGTGATGATGTAATAGTCCTTGGAGTTTGATAGGCAGCCCGAGGAACTGCATGGGAGGCCCCTCCCCGCACCCTGTCTCTCTGAGGGTCCCCCTGCTGCGTGTCTGGGTGCTGCTAGGAAGCCTCCCGGCCAGCAGGGTGGCCCCCAGAGAAAGACCATGGCTTGGGGGGTGGGCCCCCTTTGCAGGTACCCCCTTGGTAGACGATCAATGCCACAAGGGTTGGGCTGTTCCCCTTTTCTGATCTGCCCCCCCTTCTTTTTTTTTTTTTTTTTTTTTTTTTTTTTTTGGGAAATGGCCTTTTCAATATCCCTCTATCCTGGCGGTGGTAGAAGGATGTACAAACATGCTTGCCGGTGATAAGTAACCGGACTGCTGCCAAAAAAAAACTGTGCATTAATTGCTCCCCAGGGTAAAGGATTGAGTGACAGTCAAAAGGCATGTAAAGCAAACGATTCCATCCAATGTGGTAACAGAAATACAGGGGGCTCTGCCTCTAATCTCGTGTATTCTCTATTACGGAATTGCCTAGTAGTTCCCCTGTTTTAGCGAACTTGGTCAGGTTTAATTTCGACATTCACGTTTTCAAGTTTTAAATGCGCTATTAGAAAAAAACGGTTCCTTTCTCCAGTTAGAACTTGGTAGTGTGAAATTGTGAATGTCAAAAATACTCAAAATAAACCCTAACAAATGTTCATATTCATCTGAATAAGGCACTGGCTCATGGGTATAGCAAAGAGGCATGAGATCGGCAAGGGAGCATCATTTCAAGTTTCTGTTTTCACAAGTAAAAACATGAACTTTGAAATTGAACCTAACTAAGCAAATGTTCATGTGCAGCTGAAGAAGGCCCTCAGGAAGGTTCAAATCGAAGTAACACATCAAGGGTACCCTCGAAAACACATAATCGAGGATCTTTCGCCACATTCAGCTGCCTCAGCAAGGTGAGAACCATGACCGTCATCAAAGGGCTTCTTTTTCTTTTTTCTTTTTGGCCTTAAAGGAGCCTTAGAGCCATGTGTCTATTGACTCTATTCTATTATGGGGGTCATCACTGTGGCTCGTTTTCTGCTGAATTGCTGGAAGAATACGCTGAGGTCCTTCAGCTGCCTCACCAAGGTGAGAACTGTGACCCTCGTCAAAGGGATTCTTTTTCTTTTTTCTTTTTGGCCTTAAAGGAGCCATGTAGTCATGTGTCTATTCTGTTATGGGGGTCATCACTGTGGCTCGTTTTCTGCTGAAAGACTGGAAGAATATGCTGAGGTCATTCAGCTGCCTCAGCAAGGTGAGAACCGTGACCCTCGTCAAAAGGCTTCTTTTTCTTTTTTTCTTTTGGCCTTAAAGGAGCTATGTAGCCAGGTGTCTATTCTATTATGGGGTCATCACCGTGGATCATTTTCTGCTGAACGGCTGGAAGAATATGCTGAGGTTAGACATGTCTACACTGACGTGTTGAGGTGTGCTCTAACATGGATTCTTGACGAATGCAGATGAGAACATCACAGGCACATCTGAGGTTCCTTGCATGGCCTTTCTACACCTCACTCTGTTACCAAGAGGAAAGACAAGATATGCCTATTTATCTAATCTAGATCTGTTATTCTCTATGACTGCATGGAGATCTCAAGGAGTATCCCCTCTTTGGAATGTTTGACTGAGGGAACCTATACATGCATTGTGGCAGTGTACATACACTGTGGTAGCCATGGGTTCTTTGAACTGCTTTCGACTCTCCATATAGCAAACCATTTGTGTCTTCAATACTCCCACAAATCTCTGTCTGTGACATCTCTCTACGTTTTGCTATCTGCGACAGCTCTCTGCGTTTAGTTCTCCTCTACATGTCTGCAACAGTGCTCTACGTTTTGTTGTTCTTTACGTCTGCTCCAGTTCTCTGGAACTTGTTGTCCCCTACATGCCCTCAACTCTGCAGTCGATGTAAGTGGGCTGCTGCCCTGTTTTTCGCATGTCCCTCTACAGATTTAACCCAATAGGGGCCGTGGATTTTTTTATTTTTTTAATGCAACTCCTCTTTTCCTTCCCTCTCTCGTTCCTTAACAATCCTCAACTGTTGTATAGATGCTTATGAAGTTGTAATCCTCATGTCTCTGCTGGCCTGTAGGTCTACCTTAACTTCTCTCCTGACGTTGATATCACTGATGTCTTGTAAGTGATCCTGAAAATGGAGTGGCAATGGTGGAGTGCAGGGTTGCACACCCCGACCGTCGGCGCCCCTTGACTGGTCGGCTGCCGACCCGCCGACCGGTCGGCTGGTCGGCACCTACTGGTCGGGGGTCGTCGGCACCCCGCATTTTTTTGTTATTTTTTATGGGGTCCAGAACCCCTAATAATATCACCAACACCCCCACAGCGGGCCCCAATACCCCATATACTACCCCAACAGCCCCGAACAGCCGCCAACACCATTATTAAACCATCCATAACCCCCTATATCACTCCTACACTCCTATACTACCCCAACATTGTGTGCGGGCGAGCTACGCACGTGTGGCGCCTAGTGCACGCGCAACCATGCGCGCACACCCCAATAAATAGAGTAAAAAAAAAATTGGAGAGGGCTGGCTGAGGTAGCCAATGGTGCCCCTCCCTTGTAAAATGTCGAAGGGCACAGAAAAAAAAATTGAGCACACGTTTTCCTCGTTGAATTCTCCTTTTCCCAAAGGACCCGAGTGCATCTGCAAAGGTCCCACCGTCTCAAGAGACGTTCAGCAAATTTCATGTGAGAATGGAGCAGGCCAGCAATATATGTTCTGGATCCGAAGTCAGGTCTGCTTTCCAGCAGTTATGGGTTACACGTTACAACTACTTACTACCATAGCTCTCTCTTTCTTTTGTTTCGTTTTCCTACGAGCAGTGGCCCTAAGGGCCTTGCTCCACTCGTCACTACTTGCACAAAAGACAAAACATATGGCGGCGTATGAGTCCATGTTCTA